CAGCTCATCACAAAGCAGCGGGGTGGAGGATGTGAGCCTGGTGTCAGAGCAGAGTGAGGAAGAAGAGCAGGCAGTGATGGATGAGTGGCAGCCATAGGCATCTCTGTGCCGTGGGCTTCCAGGACCAAAGGCCAAATTGCATTCTGTGTCTGATACAGGGGGAGAGATCAGCACAGCAGCTGAGGTGCTGGCAGAAGAATCCATCCAATGAGATGCAATGAGATGCTCATCCCAGCCAGCAATGAAATGTGTTTCTTAATTGTGTTTCAGTCTCATCACACATTAAAAGCAGCAAGGCACATACTACACTGTGTGCTGTAGCATTCTTGCATCCATGATAATTAATTCCCCCTTAGCTGCAAGGATTTCTTGCATTTAGAACAAATAGAAATGAGGACTGTTCTGAAATGGGGAAAACCCTCCCTGAATGTGGTGCTGACAATTTACACACAGAATCCAGATGTGTACAGAGGTGAAAGCATGACAGCAAAGCCACCAGAGAAGGAAAAGCACCTTTAACCAGGTTAGGAACTGAGGCCCGGAGATGCTGTAGACAGGATGCTGAAGGGGCTTGGCTCCCATCTGGACTCCAAGACTCCAAGAGCCCATTCAGCACTTTGACATTTTTATCCCCAGTGCATTCACAGTTGGGTTTAACCCACCCATTGTTGCACAGGTTTCTATAATTTCCCCTCTGCTTTGCTGTGTGTGAGGCTGTGGATGGAGTAATGCCTCCAGGGATGGGACATCCACAACCTCCTTCAACTCCTCCACAACAGTGCTTTTTCAGAGCCTTTATAACACAGATCACAATAAATGATGGGGACATCTAGGGCTTCATGGTTTAGTGATGCAGATCCAAACCCCCGGCCTCAGGCAGAGGGAGCAGTCATTGCTGTGCCCTCCCAGATCTGCTTCCCTTCTCCCAGCCACAGGGATCAGCTCAGACCCCTCCCTGTGCCCCCTCCCAACTTTGCCCATTCCCATCACATCCTCCCCTCCTGTTCCTGCCCTTCCCTTCTGGCACAAACGCTCTGAATCTCCTTCCTCCCACTCCAGGTTTCCCACTCCTTTCTTTTGCAAATGTTTTCTCTCCCAGCATCCTCCTCTTACAGCACATCCCACGGGAGGCTTCTATCCATTTCTCCCACCTCCTCTTCCTCTCTGTGGTTCTGAAGTCCTCTGAATGGACAAATTCATTCTTCCTCTGTTTTGTCCCTCCTCACAGTTTTGCATGTCTGCTTTCTTTCTGGAGGCATTAGGAGGATGGGTGCAGGGTGATGTTAGGCTGAGGCTGGAGGCATTTCTCTTGGCAGCAGACCCCATTCCCCATGTGAGCAGCTGTGATAAGGCTAGCTCCCCTCAGCAGCATCCCTGTCAGGAACTGATGAGCTGTCCTCCATCTGCTGTTGGTTTTGGGCCTTCCCTCTCAATACCAGCCTCAGCCACAGGGATGTGGTCCATCCAGGGCTGGTGGCTGTTGGCTCGCTGGGGTCTCCATGCAGCAGCCATGGCCATAGAATCACTGAATAGAACCATATTATCAGCCATTTCAGTTGGAAGGGACCTTTAAAGACCATCTGGTCCTACTCCCCTGCAATGTGCAGGAACACCCATACCCATTTAGGACAAAGGGAAATTCTCTAAAACTGAGACAGAGGTGGTTTAGGTTGGATATGAGGAGGAAGTTTTTCAGCCAGAGGGTGGTGAGGCACTGGAACAGGTTGCCCAAGGAGGCTGTAGATGCCCCATCCCTGCAGGCATTCAAGGCCGGGCTGGATGTGGCTCTGGGCAGCCTGGGCTGCTGGTTGGTGACCTGCACACAGCAGGGGGTTGGGACTGGATGAGCATTGTGCTCCTTTGCAACCCAAGCCATTCTAGGATTCTATGATCTCCATCAGCTGCTCAGAGCCCTGTCCCTTCACCTTGGTGTTTCCAGGGATGGGGCACCATCTCTGGTCCTGGGAGTGTGATGATGTGCAGAAAGGTGGGGGGCTTTAGGGGGGGTCACCGAGGGCAGCAGTGTCCCATCACCCTTTTGAGGACGGCTCTGCAGCTCTCCCCCCCCCCTCCCAGCGGCCTCATTCCACCCAGGAGTCTCTTTCATGGCCATGGGGACCTTATCCACATTGCTTTATTTTGATAATCACCGGGAACATCATGCGTCCATGCAAACAGCAGACTGCTAAACAAACATTAAGCCCTCTGCAAAAGCATCTGTGCCCGCTCTGTATCTGGTTGCTTGCTCGGCCCTCCGGATGAGCTGAAGCAGCCCCTCCTGTGGGATCCCGCGGCACTGGGGGGCCCTGGGGACGGGCGGTGAGCACGGTGTGGGTGTAAGAACTGCACCGCAGCCGGGCCCGGATCGGAGCCCCGGGGATCGCAGGGACGCGGAGGTGCCGTATCCCATGCGAAACCCACTCCTTCTCTCCCCGCTTTTAGCTGGAAGCTGCGTTCCGGGCAGCGGGAACTGAGCGAGACCGGTGCGGGGGACGCGCGCAGAGCATCCCCGACCCCGCGCATCCCTTCGGTACTGGGAAACGCTTCCTTCGGTTCTATTCTCGAGACAGAAAGGCAGCAGCGAACCCTTCCGGCCCCGCGGTGCGTCCTCCCGGAGCTCCGTGTCCGGACGTGGAGCTCCGCGGTGCCGCTGCTCCGCTCGTTGCTCCACGTGCGGTGCGGGGAGAATCAAAATAAGGTAAAAGCGCGAGAACCCGGAGGTGAGGGCAGTTGGGTACGAAAGGGGAAGAAGTAATGAAAAATGAGAATAAGTCACCATCTGCTGAGTGATGCCCAGCGGTCCCTGAGCAGATGCAGCCCCCCAGCACTCCCCACTTTTGTTGCTCAGCACCTTGCCATGGCATAGGGCACTTTGGGTCCCGACTCTGCCCTCTGTCCTCTCCCCACTCCCCGTGCTCCCCAGCCCCTCGCTGGCAGAGCAGTGTGAGAGGCTGACACATCTTTGGCTCTTTGCAGCACCAACTGAAATGTCGGTGTCTGATTGTCTGGGTTTGTCTCCTGCAGCCAAAGCACAGCATCGCATGTGGAAAACCAACTCCATCTCAGATGAACTCGGAACAGCATCCTCAGCACAACTGCTGGGGCTGCACGTTGCCTGCAGCTCTGACAGAGATTTTAGGAGTAAAAAGTTCCAGAGGACAGCAGAAAACGGCTTCCTTAACGCTGTGCCTGTGTCCGTAAAGTGTAGGGCAGCGACTGGAGCAGGAGGGGCTGCACTGCGATGCCCCCCCGAGGCGCAGTGTTGGGCAGGAGGAGCTCTGCTTCAGGCACCCGTGGATCTGCTGTTACAATCAATAGCATTTTAGGTCTGTTAATATCATAGAATGGTAGAATGATAGAACGACCTGGGTTGAAAATGACCACAATGATAACCAATTCCAACCTCCCCCCCCCCCCCTGCTATGTGCAGGTCGCCAACCAGCAGACCAGGCTGCCCAGAGCCACATCCAGCCTGGCCTTGAATGCCTGCAGGGATGGGGCATCCACAACCTCCTTGGGCAACCTGTTCCAGAGTGTTACATATCTTTTTACTTCATGCAATATTTATATGGAATTGTGCTAATTCATTTGCATTATTAGATGATTATTACCTTCAGAGTTTCTGTAAAACCACCCACTGATGTTTTGTTCTTACACAACAGCTCCTTGGATTTCCCTTTAGACCTGAAGCTATCTCCCTGAGGAATCGTCTCCAGCTCAAAAAATGCAATTGCTTTCTCATACGTGGAGCCAATATTTTGGAGCACAGCAACCCCACAGGTTTGTTTTTAAGCACAACACTTCCTCATCTCAGCTGCATTAGGACCAATTCCAATTTTCAGTTTGGGTATTTGAGAGCTGACTGCTATTGCAGAAGCTGCTGGAAAACAGTAATCCAGCCATAATTTGTGAGTCTGGGTCTGACTCTGCCTCCTCTGAACCTGAGCAGGGCAGCGCTGCTCTTCCCCTGCCCCAAAGGTGTTTCCAGTTCCTCATTATATTTCAATTCCACTCTGCCCATGTGGTGCAGAGCAAACCAAACTGGGATGTCTTCAGCCCCAGCGGCCAAAAGGAAAAAGAAAGAGAGATCTGGAGATGAGGATGAAGATTGGGCAGCTGCTTCAGGCCAAGAGCTGACTGTGCCTCATGTGAATCCAGGAAACCTCATATGAGCCCAGGAAATTGGAAATCCCACTTATTGCCTCTGCAGGTGCTGATGTCTGAGAACATCTCGTGCAGCCCTGCTGCTACCTGGCCTTCCTCTCCTGTTGTTGTCTAACCTCTTCCCTCTGCTCCAGGCAGGCAGTACATCAGAGTCAGGTATTTGTGCAGTGTGGGTTGGTTCCATTTCCATTCACTCTGGTCTACACGGAAGTACTTGGTGGAAAAAATGCGTTATATCATGTTAAAAAAGGGAGAATTTGGACACTGCCATTGGCACATAGTAGGAGCAGTAACATATAAATGCCTGCTTCAGTGCACTGCAGCCCAGGAGACTTCTGAACTGGGGATGGTGCCCATGGCTGTGCTGTTCACAGCTCAGAGGTGATGGTGGGGGAAGACCTCGGGCATGGGTCTGAGCAGGGTCCGTGTGATAGGACAAGGGGAAATGGTTTCAGAAAAAAAGAGAGAGAATTGACTGGATATAAGGAAGAAGTTTTTTACACTAAGGCTGGTGAGGCACTGCACAGGTTGCCCAGGGAGGCGGTGGGTGCCCCATCCCTGGAGACACCCAAGGTCAGGCTGAATGGCGCTGTTCATTGTGGGGGGGTTGGACAAATGACCAAGAGAGGTGGTAGAGTTGCTGTCCCTGGAGGTGTTTAAGAACCATGGAGATGTGGCACTGAGGACATGCTTAGTGGACATGCAGGATTGGGTTGGGGTTGGACGAGATCAGCTTAGTGGTCTTTTCCAGTCTTAATGATCCTAAGATTCTATGACCTTCAGACCAACACAAACCATTCTATGAAATGCCATTCTGCAGTGCTTTCTGTCGTTGCTATCAGGTGCAGCTCATGCCACCATCCAACCTTACCAGCTCGATCCCAGCAACATTTGTGCTGGTTGGCATCCCGGGCATGGAAAAGCTGCATGTGTGGCTGTCCATCCCCTTCTGCTCCATGTACCTGGCTGCCCTGCTGGGGAACAGCATCCTGCTGCTGGTTGTGAGGGCAGAGCAGAGCCTCCATCAGCCCATGTACCTCCTCCTGTGCATGCTGGCTGCCACCGACTTGATGCTGTCCACCACCACCGTGCCCAAGATGCTGGCACTCTTCTGGTTCCATGCTGGGGAGATCTCCTTCGGTGCCTGCCTGACGCAGATGTTCTTCCTGCACTTCAGCTTCTCAATGGAGTCCGTCATCCTGCTGGCCATGGCCTTCGACCGCTTCGTGGCCATCTGCCACCCGCTGCGCTACGCGGCCGTGCTGACACCCATGGCCATCATCAAAGTGGGGCTGGGGGCCGCGCTGCGCAGCTTCTGCATCATCTTCCCCTGCGTGTTCCTGCTGCGGCGGCTGCCGTTCTGCGGGCACAGCATCATCCTGCACACCTACTGTGAGCACATGGGCATCGCCCGCCTGGCCTGCGCCGACATCTCCGCCAACGTCCTCTATGGCCTCGCCGTGCCCTTCGCAGCCGTCGTGCTGGACGTCGTGCTCATTGCTGCCTCCTACATCCTGATTCTCCTGGCAGTATTCAGACTCCCATCCAGGACAGCCCGCTCCAGGGCTTTTAACACCTGCATCTCCCACGTCTGTGTTATATTCCTTTTCTATATTCCTGCCTTTTTCACCGTGTTAACGCACCGCTTTGGGGGGGAAATCCCACACCACGTCCACATCCTGCTGGCCAACCTCTACGTGCTCTTCCCCCCACTGCTGAACCCCATCGTGTACGGCGTGCGGACACGGCAGATAAGAGAGAAGGTGGTGAAGATGCTCCTCTGCCCCAAAACGCATCAGCTGCAGGAGTGAAAGCCACATGTAAGGAATGCCTCGGTGGGACTCCAAGAGCCCAGATCTCCCATAGAACCATTTCAGGCACTGTGAGGAAATCTGCAGCCCCACACACAGGGCACCCCACATCCCCACCCTGAATTCCCCAGCGGTCAGTCGAAGATGTCCCTGAAGATGTCCCCCCATCTGAAGATGTCAAGAAAAGGGCAGATGTGGCACTGAGGGATGTGGTCAGTGGGCATGGTGGGATGGATTGGGGCTGGATTTGGAGGTCTTGGAGGCCTCCTTCAACCTCAATGATTCTGTAATTCTATGTAACCAGAAGCCAAATGCCAGGCTCTCTGTTTGACTGCAGAATGAGGGTGCCCACGGAGGGGAGGACCCACCCCAGTAGTGCCATCTGTGGGACCCCCAGTGAGGATTCCACTGTGATGTGATGGAGATCTCGGCGTCTGTGCTGGAGTCAGGGGACAAGGAGTGTAATAAACCTTCTCTAATCACAGATACATAATGGAGCTCACTGGAGGAACTGCTTCTTTATTAAAAAATCACTGAACTAGAAAAGTCTCTAGAAAGAAAAACAGAAATAAAAGCAAGTGTTGCAAATTAGCCTGGAGTCTCTTTATTCCTTAACTACATAACATCTGTCTGTGCTTTAAGTGAACAGCTGGGTGAAAAAGAGAGTTCCAAAAAGAGCTGGGCTGGCGGTTGGACTTGATGATCTTAGTGGTCTTTTCATAGAATCACAGAATCACAGAATGGGCTGGGTTGAAATGATCATCCAGTTCCAAACCCCTGCAGGGTCGCCAACCAGCAGACCAGGCTGCCCAGAGCCACATCCAGCCTGGAATGCATTGGGAAAGGCAGTTTCAATTCATTTGGACGAACAATGTACTTCTCTGTGGTCCACCATTTCAGGAGCTGACAGCAGTGCAGTCACACACTACTGAGAGCTCTGGCACCTGGGAAGCAGGGACTAACTGAGCATTGAGTCAAACTGGTACAGGGTCCTAAGGAAATTCTTGCTCAGAGTGGCTGTTTTCTTGCAAAGCCAAGGGCTTCAAAAGCACTTGGGCACTCTTTGCAAGGGAGGAGAGCAGGATGCTCCCAGAGCAGAACTGCAATAGTGGGCAGAGGTTGGGGGATGCCCAGAGCAGCCCAGTGCAGCCCCAAAGCATTTCAGAGCAGCAGCTGTAGCGCTGATCACATTCACTGTCAGCTCTTTTGTCATTAAATTACCCATTTCCTTTGAGTTCCTTCAGTAATAGCCAAAATCACCCAAAATGATATGATGCCATTCTGCATAAGCTTCTGCAGCAGCATGGACAGAGAGCAAACAGCCCCTGAGAGCCCATCTCAGTGCAGCAGCTGCTCTGCCTTAAGCCTGAGCTGCTGTAATGAATGCTGCCCCTGACGGCTGTTGTAGCACTTCGTATCTTTTACTTGTGCAGATCCTGGCACTCCTGGCTGTATGTGCATCCCAAATTTCAACAAATAATTCAGAAAGAAACTGTCTGTGTACTGAAATGGATCGCATCTCACTCCTTCCAGAAGTGCTGTGAGGATGAACCCAGCGCAGGCACAGAGCTCCAAGGAGAGCAGAGCTGGCAGCACACGGAGCTCCCACAGCTCATAATGCAGTGACAGTGCCTTTCCTTTGGCCAGAAACCACCCATTGCAGAATAGTGCCGAGATAAAAAACCGGTCTCAATTCAGCGTTGTTTTCCCGTATTTAATTTACATCAGGTCAAAGCACTAATTTGGGTTCAGTTTATCTCGCCAAATCTGCATCTCTCTCATCCCTGTGCAAAGCACATGAATTTCCTCGTGTGCATCTTTCAGCTCTGGGCTGATGTTTCGCAGTGGGTTTGGTTTAGGAGTGGGCATCCTGCCCTGAGCATTGCTCCTGTGCAGCACTTCTCCTGCAGAACTGAATCAGCAGCACCTCGCTGAGCAGGAAAACGCTTTAATGGACCTGTAGCACTGCCTTGGGGCTGCACCACCACCCAAACAGCATCTGCAGAATCAAAACTCAGTTGAAATCGAAGTCTGTGCCTTAATCGAGCGAGGCACTGCACTGGCTGCCCATAGAGGTGGTGGTGCCCCATCCCTGCAGACACCCGAGGTCAGGGGAAGGAGCTGAGAGCACTGATGGAGCTGTGGGTGTCTGTGCATTGCAGGGAGTGGGACCCGATGGCCTTAAAGGGGGTCCTTTCCAACTCCAACCATTCTGTAATTCTATGCCAGAAGGCTCTGCTGGCGCTCAGCTCTGAGCACCACAGTCCCATCAACCCCCCGTGGTCTCCTGGGCTCATCTGGGGCACTGAGAATCCCATGTCCCTTCTCTGGGCACCACTTGGGAAGGAAGGAAGTTTTTCAGCCAGAGGGTGGTGAGGCACTGGAACAGGTTGCCCAAGGAGGCTGTGGATGCCCCATCCCTGCAGGCATCCAAGGCCAGGCTGGATGTGGCTCTGGGCAGCCTGGGCTGCTGGTTGGCGACCTGCACACAGCAGGGGGTTGGAACTGGATGAGCACTGTGCTCCTCTGCAACCCAGGCCATTCTAGGATTCTATCATTGCATGACCACAAGCCCTGCATCCCACTCCCATCACATCCCATCTGCACAGCCCAGGTGTTGTTTTGGGATATTATGCTGATGAGTTCCCTGTGACTTGCTACTGTTTCATTGTGGAAGTGATGGGATTTAGCAAGAGAGGCAAAATGCTCAGCATACTGGGTAATGCCAAGTGGGCAGACAGGGCCAAACAAAGGATACAGGAGTCAGAATCCTGCAGTGCTGTGCAAGGCTTAAGCTGAAACATGACCAGAAAACCAACAAAGTTTGTAAGAGATGTGCTGCTTGAACCAACTGCATTCAGGGCTGGAGAGTGACGTTCTGCTGGTCCATGTGCACAAACCTGCCTGCAGAGAGGGAAACTTGCCTGCTATGTGCGTGGATTAACCCACTGCAAAAGAATCCCTCCTGACTGCGCTGAATGCACAATGCTGTTTCTATCTGCAGCATTAGCTTGCCTCAGAAGTACTTAGCTTGCCATGTTTGGACATGTCTGCTTTTCAATGAGGTGCCTGCTGCTTTGTATGCAAGCAAGAGAGAAATTTGATTCATGTCTCTGCTTCTGGGCCCATGTCTTTGCCTCCATGCTCACAATCTCTGCTGCACATAATCAGATATAACCTTGAGGCTGTCCAGTTTGCCTTGTGCTAAAGGACACTGGGAAGGTCCTGCAGGCTCCTGAAGTGCCATATGGAACAGGAATTCTGTGCATTGCATTTTTCAGGACTTGATGCCACATCCAGGGCATTTAGTTCTTAGTTTTCCAGTTCTTGACATGAAGAATGATGGGCATACTAATTACAAACAATGAAAGAGACTCCTGGGTGGAATGAGGCCGCTGGGAGGGGGGGGGGGAGAGCTGCAGAGCCGTCCTCGAAAGGGTGATGGGACACTGCTGCCCTCGGTGACCCCCCCTACAGCCCCCCACCTTTCTGCACATCATCACACTCCCAGGACCAGAGATGGTGCCCCATCCCTGGAAACATCACAGGGCTCTGAGCAGCTGATGGAGATCATAGAATCCTAGAATGGCCTGGATTGCAAAGGAGCGCAATGCTCATCCAGTTCCAACCCCCTGCTGTGTGCAGGGTCGCCAACCAGCAGCCCAGGCTGCCCAGAGCCACATCCAGCCTGGCCTTGAATGCCTGCAGGGATGGGGCATCCACAGCCTCCTTGGGCAAATGTCACATTAAATGACCAAGGAAGAAATGCTGAAATCACTGCCTTTGCAGAAGGTGCTCTCTTGTCTACATTGTGCTCCACACTGACATTTCTTATCATTGCAAGTGAAAGAAAACATTTTTGGTTCCTCTGAACAATGTCTCCAGACTGCTTGTTTTCAGGAGGAGAAATCCAAACAAGATTTATGTCAAACTATTTTAATTTCTGTTTTGACAAGTGATTAAATTCTGATCTGCGAAATGAAAAGCTAACTTTGCCTTCAGTTCTACTCTACGTGGATCTACTGGCAAAGTAACCATACCCTTTTCTTCTTCTTTTTCTCTTTCTGAACATGTTTTATTTACACTGTGTGAAGGTAAGATGTAAAAGCTGGCATTGCAGCATCATGTGAAGGCAACAGAATGAGAAATCCATTCCGCTGTGTGGGAGAAAACGGTACACAACAGATATCAATTTCCTGGGTAGGGCCGCTCTGAGTTTTTTAGTGTGGCCTCTCAGGTAATGCAATAAAAATAAATACACAATTAGGTTTCGGCTTCACAAATCATACAGGAAATATTGTTTTATAATGTACTGCTCACATTCATCTTCTCCTGTCTTATTCTCATTGTGTTTACATTGATTTGATGTACCAGGCAGCTGTAGCGTTTCACATCTCTCAGTATCCAGGGCCACAAAGTAGTGCTAAAATGCACATTAGAAACAAATGATCCCTGTGATATAGAAGGAAACATGGATAATGCTGCTGTCTAATGGCTGAGTCTAAAGACCAAGAGAAGTCTGTGGGCCAGTCAGACACCAGGGTGTCCTGGGAGCAGGGAATCAGCACGAAGATGGGCTGCGTGGGGCATTGGTGGGCCCCCATCACTGGAGGTGCTGAAGAACCATGGAGATGTGGCACAGGGACGTGGTTGGTGGGCATGGTGGGGATGGGTGAGGGATGGGACTTGGGGATCTTAGAGGGCTTTTCCAGCCTTTGTGTTCCTGTGACTCCCTGATTCTACAGTTTAGTGAAGGGACTTGGTAGGTCGTGTTGATGGTTGGACTTGTTGACCTTGATGGCCATTTCCTAGCATGGTGGCCACGAAAATAATCCAGTACCGTGGCTCTCAAGAGTAGGGAGGGGTGAGGACACTGGAGCATGACCTCTATAGCCTTGAATGGGGAAGTCTTGCATGGGGCAATTTGTGCCCAAACTACACATCTGCTCTGGGTTTCTCTGTCAGCAGAAGCCAGTTGGGTTTGCCTGGCTGCCCTACAG